TACTCAGGAGGCTGAGGCACAAGAATCACTTGAGCCCAGGAGGTAGAGGTTGCAGTGAGCTGAGATTGTGCCACTGCTCTCCAGCCTGGGCGTCGGAGCAAGACTCTGTGTCAAAAAATAAAAATAGCTCAATCAGACAGATTTTGCCAGTAAAACTGTTGTCTAGGTGGGGAGACAGCTTCTTTATGCTTGGTACCCTGCCATCTACCCTGAATCCTCTGCCCTGAGGGGTTTGTTTTCTTTCCTTTCTTTCTTTTTTAGACAGTGTCTCACTCTGTTGCCCAAGCTGGAGTGCAGCGGTGTGATCATAGCTAACTCTAGCCTTGACCTCCTAGACTCAAGTGATCCTCCTGCCTCAGCCTCCTCAATAGCTAGGACTACAGGTGTATGCCACCATGCTCAGCTAATTTTTATTTATTTATTTTTTGGTAGACATAGTGGTTTTACTCTGTTCCCCAGGCTGGTCTTGAACTTCTAGCTTTGGCCTCTCCAAGGGCAGAGCTAACAGGCATAAACCACTGCACCTGGCTTTGCCTTGAGTTTTTACACTAATATATTATTTCATGTCTCACATTAAATGTCACCTTCTCAGGGTTCTTCATACCACCTCAGTGACTCTTAACATGTTTTTATTTGTAGAATTTTTTTCCTTGCACTTTTTAGATTCAGGGAGATCCAATTAAGGTTGACAGAATTTTTTGATTTCTTAACTGTTGAAAAATTAAATAATATAAATGAAACCAAATTGAATGGTGTTATGTTTACTTTTATCATCTGCATTGCTGTATATGAAAGTACCCTGGAAAACCATTTTTAAAAGCCTTTTTCCAGAAAGGAAAATAAAATGGCCAGACAGCATGGCTCACACCTATAATCCCAGCAGTTTGGGAGGCCAAGGTGGGTGGATCATCTGAGTCTAAGAGTTTAGACCAGCCTGGCCAACATGGTGAAACCCTATCTTTACAAAAAAAATACAAAAATTAGCCAGGCATGGTGGGACATGCCTGCAGCCTCTTGGGAGGCTGAGGTAGGAGGATCGCTTGAGCCCAGGAGGTTGAGGCTGCAGTGAGTCGTGATGGCATTACTGCATTCCAGTGCAGGTGACAGAGCGAGAGCCTGTCTCAAAAAACAAAAAACAAACAAACAAAGCTAACTTGTGGTAAGGGGTGACATTAATATTCACACATCCTTTCCCTGGTGCAGATTTCTCAGGGTTGTGCTGAGACCTCCAGTATTTACAGCAGGTAATGGTCACTAAGAATATTGTCTGTACCCTCACTAAGCAGGTAGTGACACAGGTTAAGAAGAACAGAAGCAAATAAAATGGATGTGTGCTCACCCAAGACATTATCTGGGAAGACTGTTTCAAATGAATAAATGAAATTCTGGGCATGAGAACAACAGTTGAATTCAACCTGGGCCAGTTTGCTTAAAAGGAAAAAGTATTTATATAATGCTTAGGATTTAGTTACAGATATGACTGAGTGGGTCAATGGTGTGGGCTGGGGTTGAGAGGGGGTTTCAAATGGATAAATGGGACATGTCCATCTTCAGGCACAGAGCACATGATGTCAACCCTGAACTGTGAAGGTCAGGGAGTGACTAAAGCCAAGGAGAGGGGAGAGCTCACATTTAATTAGTCGTTTTACACAACAGTTTGTTAAGGTAAAAATAATAGTTTGTTAGCATGTTTGTTTCTCAAAGGAATATTTACCAGTTGGTTTTGTTTGTTTGTTTGTTTTTGAGATGGAGTCTCACTCTGTTGCCCAAGCTGGAGTGCAATGGTGTGATCTCAGGTCACCGCAACCTCTGCCTCCTTGGTTCAAGCAATTCTCCTGCCTCAGCCTCCTGAGTAGCTGGGATTACAGGCACACACCACCATGCCTGGCTAATTTTTAGTATTTTTAGTAGAGACAGGGTTTCACTGTGTTGGTCAGGCTGGTCTTGAACTCGTGACATTGTGATCTGCCTGCCTCAGCCTCCCAAAGTGTTGGGATCGCAGGCGTGAGCCACCGCACCGGGCCTTGTTTTGTTTTAGAGGAAAGAGGATCTCCCCATGTTGCCCAGGTGGCCAATTCCTGGGCTCAAGCAATCCTCCTGCCTCCCAAAGTGCAGGGATTACAGGCCCAAGGCACCATGCCCGGTGTATTTACCAGTTTCCAAATCCCTATTAAATATCTTATATATATTTTTTTCCTCTACTTTATATATAAACACAGGAAGAAACGCAAGACTCTGCCAATTTTTTATTCAAACAATGGAATTGAGGGTCTTTGTCTCAGTTAACTCATCAGTGCTGGTGAGAAGCAAGTGAAGACTCTTACAGAGGCCATGGGGAACGTTCCCTTTTGCCCCGTGATGTTTTGCTGAATTAATTGGAGAGAAGGCAGATTAACTGGAGGAAAAACATACAAATTTTATTTAACGTATATATCTGGGAAGCTTCAGAATAAAGACCCAGAGATACAAAGGAACTTGTTCATTTTTATGCTTAGGCTTAACAACGTAGGGATAGCCATGTAGAAATGTGATTAGACCGAAAGAGTATGATCCAATGCTAACAGTCTGAGTGGGGCAACCCATCAAGGCCTGTGTGTCTAGATTGTTCTTGGCCTTTCTGAACACGCATTCCTTCCTTCTGGGTATGAGGCAGAACCCACTCTGAAATGGAAGGTCTTATGACCTACAGCAAGCTTGTCCAACCCATGGCGCAGGACGGCTTTGGATGCAGCCCAACACAAATTCATGATCTTTCTTAAAACATTAGGATTTTTTTTTTTTTTGCTACTTTTTAAAAAACTCATCAGCTATTGTTAGTGTTAGTGTATTTTATATGTGGCCTAAGACGATTCTTCTTCCAATGTGGAACCCCCAGGGCCACCCCTGACCTACAATTAATTTGTTGGACAGTTAATTTGCTTATGGCCAGTTTTTACACAGAAAGGACAATGGAAAGTTAGAGTAATATGTTTTGATTTTATGCCTGGATTTAGGGGAAAAGGATTCTGGATTCTATGACCCACTTTGGAGAAGAGAGATTCTCGTTTCTATTGCTAGCCTTGGTTAGAAAATTAGGACTAAGAGTTCCAAGAATGGGACTGTTTTTCCTCTGCCCTCTGCGGAGAAAAAAACTTTTGCTTCTGAGGCTTCTTCCAAGGTCTTCTTTTTGGGGTATTGTTTTCTGAGACCCAACCACCTAGACTGGGCAGCAGAGTTTGAACCAGTGACTCTACGCTGAACCCATTCTGAAGGTTGCAAAGGGAGGCAAATAGAGCCCCCTTTGGCGCTTCCTCCGCAGCCTGTGCTCGCCTGCACGTAGGCTGAAGCTGCGCATAGAATCAGAACTTAACATTTATATGTAGGCCGGGCATGGTGGCTCACGCCTGTAATCCCAGCACTTTGGGAGGCGGAGGCGGGCGGATCAGGAGGTCAGGAGATCGAGACCATCCTGGGTAACACGGTGAAACTCTACTAAAAATGCAAAAAATTAGCTGGGCGTGGTGGCGGGCGCCTGTAGTCCCAGCTACTCGGGAGGTTGAGGCAGGAGAATGGCGTGAACCCGGGAGGCGGAGCTTGCAGTGAGCGGAGATCGTGCCACTGCACTCCAATCGTGCCACTGCACTCCAGCCTGGGCGACTGAGACTCTGTCTCAAAAAAAAAAAAAAAAAAAAAATTATATGTTAGGAAAATCTGGGTAAAGGGTTGATTACTTTGACAGTTTATGTAGGTCAGTGCCTTAAACTAACTTTTTTTTTTTTTTTTTTTGAGACCAGGTCTCACTCTGTAACCCAGGCTGGAATGCCATGGCTGCAATCTCGGCTCACTGCAACCTCCGCCTCCCAGGTTCAAGTGATTCTCCTGCCTCAGCCTCCCCAGTAGCTGGGATTACAGGTGCCCGCCACCACGCCCAGCTAATTTTTGTATTTTTAGTAGAGATGGGGTTGCACCATGTTGGCCAGGCTGGTCTCCAACTCCTGACCTCAGGTGATCCACCCGCCTCGGCCTCCCAAAGTGCTGGATTACAGGCGTGAGCCACCACGCTGGGCCCTTAAACTAACTTTACATGAAACTTTCCTGCTGGTGAAAATGCACGTCTTGACAGAGGGAGTATTTCCACACTCTGCAGAGGGCACAGGGAAGTATGTTGAGCTCCCAGAGTCAAATCCTTCAGTGTCCCAGTCTTATCACCAGGTTTTGGTTCACTCTGGGGTTCCATTTCAACAGTCAAGAGGCTGGCTGCCAAGTCTGGGAATATTTTTAGCCTCCTGAATGGGACGTTTGCTTGTGAAGTATGAGGGCAGCAGGCTGCTTATCTGCCCTAGTTCAAGTTTTTGCTTTTTTTTTTCTGTTTTGATTCATTTTTGTTTCGATTCATTCATTCATTTATTGCTGCCGTATGATTTCAGTTCTTCCACACATTTGATACCGTTCTTGACCTGTTTTTATTTCCTTGGCTGAAAATGAGTAGATTGAGATGCAAGGTGAGAGAGGAAGGCTTGACCTTGCTGCCAAGAGTCTCATCCTCAAATCCTGACGCCCGGTGGACATCAGGCCCCCCTCCTGCTGCCGTGTGGCCTGTGTGGCCTTGGGCTTCCCTCTGCTCTAAGGCCAGGGGAATGGCTCCACCGGACCGTGAGTCTGGGATTCCCTGCAAAACACTTGTGACTCCTCCAGGAGGAAAAGGCAGTAAGGGCCCGCTGAGTACGGGCAGGTAATTCTGCATAAATGCAAATGTTCCCTGGAAGGGATCAGGACACAGCTCTGGGAGGAAGCCTGCCCTGTCAAGGGCTGTGCCTGGAACTCGTTCATCCTGCTCTACTCAGCACTGCGTGATCGCTTCTTCTGTCACTCAGTGCCCAAGGGGCTGGACCTGGAGCCCTATCCAATCAGAGCCATGGGGCGAGGTCGTAGGAATTGTCAATCAGGCGCGCGGCTGGGAAGAGGGTGCGAGGTTCAAAGAACCGGCGGCGTCTTCTCCACGCCCCTGCGCTCAGCTCTAGCTTCGGTCACTGAGAGACGCCCTGGAAAGTCTGTGGCGGCCTCTGTCACACTGGGACCCCCCACTGGCAGCGGGAAGCAGAGGGACGACCCTGGAACATCCTGGAAGCCGGGAAATGGTGCGTGTGCGTGGTCAAGTGTCCCCAAAGTGGGGAAAGGCTGGTTGGAACCGTCCAGAACCCGCTGCGGCGAAACCCGGGCCTCCGCCGCCGTCAGCTCCGGGGTCTGGGACCCGAGTTCCCCTGGCGCAGCTCTGCTCTGCAGGGTGAGGCTGGGCCGGCAGCCGGGACCCCGGGCGTCCTGTCCGGTCCCTGCGCGGCGACTGCGGTCCCGACCTCGGAGCCCTCTCTGGGCAGCTCCGCGCCCGCAGCCCCGCGTCTCCCCAAGATTCGGGGAGGGTCATGGAAGGGTCATGGGGGGAATCCCCACTCGTATGTGGGGTTTGTGCATGGGAGGAGCTGTGATCTGTGGGATCCTCAGTCTCTGTTTTCTTCCCAAAGAGGACCGGTTTCCCTCTGAGTCTTCAAAGGTTTGGGAAGGCAGCTGTCTAATGCCTTGTCTTGTCCCCTCACCCTAACTCCTGGGGCTGGCAGTAAATCCTTAGATTTCCAGATTTCGCCCTGCATTTCAAAAAGCTGATTTCTCTCTGTCACAGGGGAACGACTGCTATCTGGGCCGGTAACGCTGGGGTAAAATAATTTTTACCGAGACAGTTGTAGGTAGAGTTATTAGCGAAAGTAGGAAAATCCGTTGCAAGGGAGGCCATGGGAAGCCTGCAGGAGAGAAACCGAGGCTTGTGGGCGATTTTATAGAATGGAACTTGGACTGATTGATGGTGCCAAGGCAGCAGGGAGCTTAACTCGCATTCCTTTGTCAGCCCCGGTGTTTGATAAATTGAGGCGTTTGATGGTGAGCAGGAAGTCTGTGAATTAAGTGCGTTATCTGGGCAAGAAGGCCATGTCTTGGGCCATATGTCTTGGGCCATAAAGAAAGTTAGACATGTACAGGAGTTCCAGACCAGCCTGGCCAAGATGGCGAAACCCCTTCTCTAGTGAAAATACAAAAATTAGCCGCACATGGTGGCACATGCCTGTAATCCCAGCTACTCGAGAGACTGAGGCAGGAGAATCGCTGGAACCCATGAGGCGGCGGTTGCAGTGAACTGAGATCGCGCCACTGCACTCCAGTCTGGGTGACAGAGGGAGACTCCGTCTCAAAAAAAAAAAAAAAAGAAAAAAAGAAAAGAAACAAAGTTAGACCTGTAACTTACCTGCATTTTCTTTTGTTTAAATTCTCTGGACATGAAGATAGGCAGATTTATAGCTTATTTGCTTTATCCTTCTGCTTTCCCCTGTTCCCCTTAGCCTTTCCCTAATTAAGACTTTAATTTAACAGCCTTTTCCCCTGTTCCCCTTAACCTTTTCCCTAATTAAGACTCCACACTGTCCTCAGTTCACAGCAACATAATGAACTCTTTGTCCCCCAGGCTGTATTTCAAACAAGTGCAGTATTTTAACTGTCATTTTTTCCCCCCAGGTAGCAATATATGACTCTTTTTTGGAAGATACGATTTTTGTTTGTGAATATTTCATATGTGAGAATGCAGAGAATAACCACCTGTCAGGTGGTTTAACCACTCCGCTGTAAAAACGAACAAGAAAAATAGCTGCGCCTCTCCTCCTTTTATCTTCCCTGGGCACAGGCACATTATCTGAATGTGTCTGGGTTGAGGTTCCCCTTTGGAAACCACCGGCTGATGAGTCCTGAGCCCACACTATCTTCTCCTGGTGCTGGCTTTGATAACTGCCTGGGACTGGCACCAAGTAGATACAGCAGCCGTGTCTTGGAGGGTAGTGAATATCAGCCCCTGGGTCACTCCTCCCAGAGGACAACCTGAGATGCAGGGCTGGGGCCTCCCAGGGGAAGAGCTGGATGCCCTGTGGTGGGAGGATTCCCCTGGTATCCTCTTGTAAAAAGTTAAGCCCTGGGATACTCAATTTTCTCACCCCAAGCCCAGTTTTCTTCTTAGAGACATGGCTGGTCAGACACTCAGTTGCTGGTATTGAGGGGGTAAAATAGAAATCGTTCCCATCCTTTGAATTCTTTTAGACTAGTGAAGCAAGAAAAACTATCCGAAAGGTCAAGGATAACTTACCCCAGTGAGGTGGTGCAAGAGCCTGAAAGTACACAGTGCGGTGTCTGGTGGTTGGGGATGGGGAGTAGTCCCTGAGCACTTCAGTGAGCAGCTTGGGGGTGGGGGATGTCCCAGGTGACAGGAGGACCTGACCTAACCCTTGAATGAGACTTGTCAGTGTTCCAGTCAGCACTGCCCCTCCCTGGGGTTGTCAACCTTGAAAAGATTTGTTCACTCATTTCTGTTCAGTTTTTTCTTAACTGTAAAATGCATTCTATCATTAGAGATTGATAGAGAAGATAAGATGTTCCTAAAGGGACAAGAGAGAGTTGGATTTCAGAAAACAAATTATATACATCTAGTCCTATATGCCTTTAAAAAATTCTTGTTTACTTTTCTGTCATACTACACAGAGCCTGTGTAGTAAGTTTCCCAGGTCTGTTTTGTTGTTGTTGTTGTTGTTGTTGTTGTTTAGTTTAGTTTTTTAATTGGGTTATCTCAAATAGAATTTCAGGGCTTAGCAGAGAAAATGCTACCAGGAAAAATAAATTGGAAAAAACTTTCTTTCATGATGACTACAGAAAAATGAATACTGTCTCAAGGCTCTTAAAATACTTTTTCTGGTATGAGAAAGGTAGAACCACATTCAAAATGGAAGCTGAGGTAATAGAGTGAGTAAAAATTCATGAAAACAAGCAGATCTGTAATTAGTTGATTATTGTATATGGAGGTGTTAGGCAGAAGATTGATTATTCTCCTGAAGATAAGAATTTGTCCCTGTTCTTTGGGTTGAAGTGGCTGTCATTTGTATCACTGCCTGGCAATACCTGCTGTGCCATAGTTTCTCATACGTTAAATAGATGCTCGTGTTCCAGAATTTGCCGTTTTCCGCTGGGCTTTGTACCCATCACTTTGCTAACACCATACTCTCCTGATTACTGTAGACTTCAAAACCTTGATGTGTGGTAGAGAAAGGGCTTCCCTGTCTTAACTACATAGGGTTGCTCTACTAGATTGCCATAAACTGCATGCCTTAAACAACATTCGTTCATTTCTCAAACGGGTAGAGGCTGGGAATCCAAATTCAAGTAGGTCAGATCTCTGGTTAGGGCCCGCTTCCAGGTTTAAAGATGGCAGTCTTCCCCTTATGTCCTTACATAGTGGAGATATGTCTGTAATGTCTATTTTTGGTACTAGGGCAATGTTGGCCTTATAACATCAATTAGAAAGTATTACCTCTGTGCCGGGCACAGTGGCTCACACCTGTAATCCCAGCAATTTGGGAGGCCGAGGTGGGTGGATCACCTGAGGTCAGCAGTTCAAGACCAGCCTGGCCAACATGGTGAAACCCTGCTTCTGTTTTCTGGAAGACATTGTAGAGAATTGGTATCATTTCTTCCATAAGTATTTGCCATAAATCACCAGTGAAACCATCCTTGCCTGTTCCTTTTTCTTGGGATATTTATCATTTATTGATTCAATTTCTTCAATAGATGTAGGCCTATTCATATTACTTGGTGTTACTTTTATGAGTTTTGGTAGACTGTGTCTTTTATGAAATTGGTCCATTCCATGTAATTTATCAAATATGTGGCCATTCAGTTGTTTCTAATATTCTTTCATGGTGCTCTTAATGTCCATAGGATTAGTAGTGAAGGCCTCTCTTTTTCCTGCGTTAACTTTGCTGTGGGCTTATCAATTTTACAGATCTTTTCAGAGAATCATCTGTTGGTTTGTTGATGTTTTGTTTTGTTTTGTTTTGTTTTTTTGAAATGAAGTCTTACTCTGTCGCCCAGGCTGGAGTGCAGTGACGTCATCTCGGCTCACTGCAAGCTCCACTTCCTGGGTTCAAGCGTTTCTCCTGCCTCAGCTACTGGGTTACAGGCATGTGCCACCAAGCGTGGCTAATTTTTATATTTTTAGAGGATGGAGTTTCACTATGTTGGCCAGACTGGTCTCAAACTCCTGACCTCATGATCTGCTCGCCTTGGCCTTCCAAAGTGCTGGGATTACAGGCATGAGCCACCGCGCCTGGCCTTGATGTGTGCCTTAATTACAATCTGTTGTCCCAAGTAGTTGCAGGCTATTTGTGTATTTTGCACCGTTTTTCAGCATTTCTTATGTTTGACCCTAACTGGATTCCATTGTAGATGAAATAGAAAAGAGAGCCTTGTTTCACACCTTCTGATCATCCCCAGAATGATTGGAAAATACAAAGGCAATAATTTGTGAATAACATCTGATCTGCTTTCTCTAGAATAGTGACCAGAGTTCCACACTGGGATCTCAGGCTGCTGTCTTCAAGACTGGCACAGAGGTGGGGAGTGATTGAGCCAAGGACAAATAAAAACTCCACAAGGGTTTTCTACCATTTTTTCACTTTTATTTATCTATTTGTTTATCTCTTTGTTAATGATATGGGGTGCTGAATATCATAGTTTCAAAATCCTTTATCTGTTTTTGAAAAACTGTCACTTTGTTGGTCAGAGGGTTTTTTGTTTGTTTGTTTGTTTGTTTGTTTGTTTTTGAAACGGAGTTTTGCTCTTGTCAACCAGGCTGGAGTGCAATGGCATAGTCTTGGCTCACCGCAACCGCCACCTCCCGGGTTCAAACAATTCTCCTGGCTTAGCCTCCCAAATAACTGGGATTAGAGGCATGCGCCACCACACCTGGCTAATTTTGTATTTTTAGTAGAGATGGGGTTTCTCCATGTTGGTCAGGCTGGTCTCGAACTCCTGACCTCAGGTGATTCACCTACCTCGGCCACCCAAAGTGCTGGGATTACAGGTGTGAGCCACCGTGCCCAGCCAGTGAGAAGGTTTTTTTGTTTGTTTGTTTGTTTGTTTTATCATTTTTAGATGTTTGTGACTTCTATTAGATTTGGTTATATAATTTTATTTATTTTTTTTGAGACAGAATCTCACTATATTGCCATTGCTGGAATGCAGTGACTCAGTAATGGTTCACTACAGTCTTCATGTCCTGGGCTCAGGTGATCCTCCCACCTCAGCCTCCCCATTAACTGGGACTACAGGCATACCACCATGCCTGGCTAATATTTTTTGTATTTTTTTTTGCAGAGACAGGGTTTCGCCCTGTTGCCCAGGCTGGTCTCAAACTCCTGGGCTCAAATGGTCCATCTGCCCTGGCCTCTCAAAGTGCTGAGATTACAGGCATGAGCCATGGTGCCCAGCTGGTAGTGTAATTTTTAGTTATTTAGGTCTGTTTTAGTTATTTAGGGAATCTTATAAATATTCATGAGAGATAACATTGAGTTCTTTTCTAATAATACAGTCTCCCATTGCCCTTCTTTCCTTCTCCTTTGACATTACCCAATAAGATGTTCAAAATTTTTCCACTGGGATGGTGAAATATCTTTTATTATTTGTCATGCTTAACTACATTTGATCTAGAGGAAACCAATTACCAGCTTCCAGATTTTCTGTTAGTATAATCCCAGAGGATGTGCCAAATCCTCCAACTAACAAGTTGCAAAAAAACGTGGAATTTTATCTACCAGGCTCTCTCATTAGAGACCCAGTGCCTATAGTGTTTTTTGCTGGCTGGTTTAGTCTGTTTTTTGTTGCTTAAGAATAATCTGAATCTGGATAATTTATAAGGAACAATATTTGTTTTTTACTGTTGTGGAGGCTGGGAAGTCCAGGGTTAAGCCTGGGTGTCTGGTGAAAACCTTCTTGCTGGTGGGGACTCTGCAGAGTTCCTAGATGGCACAAAGCATTACATGGCAACGGCTGAAGTGCCTAACTCGGGTCTCTTCCATCTTATAAGGACACCAGTCCCCTTCCTGAGGTAATTTACTTATTCATTAAGCCATTGATCCATGAATAGATTAACTTATTCATGAGGTCTGAACCTTCAAGACTCAATCACCTTTTCAATCCCCACCTTTTATTACTCCCACTTTGCGGATTAACTTTCAACATGTGTTTTGGAGGGGACAACCATTCAAACTTAGCAGTGGCTGATCACATACACTCCCTCTGCTGAGTTTGTAAGATTCTAAACTCTCAGAACATAGGAGTTAAGAAAATAATATACTTTTTGCATAAACAGTTTAGATACAATCAAGCCCTGTTATTAGTTACATTGGTGGGGCACTCCCTAAATCCAGTTCCTAGACACCATAAAAGGTCCAACTTTGAGAATAAGAATTTGTAAGGACATGTAGTCTCAGGACTGCTAATGGTAGCTCTCTTCTGCACAGTCAGTAGTAGGACTTTGTTGGTAGGACTTTGACAAGAACTGCAACCCACTACAGGAATAGACATTAGGGTGATCCAGGCAATAAGACTCATTTAACTCACCAAGAAGAAACCTGTTCCTATTTACCTGTCTGGTAAAGTAACTTTACCAAACATGTTGAATTCTACCATCAAAATGGCTGTGTGGGAGAAAGTGAGTATAGAGAGAATATGAGAGAGTTTACTATGTCATTGAATAAATGCTTGAAAAGCACAGCATCATATGAAGTTTATGAATTGAGTATAGCTTTTTCAGTACTGTCACTCAACCTTTGTCCTCTATCTATGTGGAATGTTTCAGGACACAGTGGCCTTTGAGGATGTGGCTGTGAACTTCACCCAGGAGGAATGGGCTTTGCTGGGTCCATCACAGAAGAATTTGTACAGATATGTGATGCAAGAAACCATCAGGAACCTGGACTGTATAAGTAAGGATGGTATCATGTCTTCACTTAATCAATTACAGACATTTGTTTCATGGTCATCAGTGCTGTTCAATGATTTGAAATATGGAAAGGGCATATGATGGACTCTTGAACAACACAGAATTCAGAGGTGACAGCCCTGAAAGAAGTACTTCCTCAAATAATTTTTTGTCCACCACAGCTTAGGCAGCCATTGACCAGCAGCCTTACTGGTAACATAAGCAGTTGATTGGCTGGGCACGGTGGCTCACGCCTGTAATCCTAGCACATTGGGAGGCCAAGGCAGGCGGATCATGAGGTCAGGAGTTCAAGACCAGCCTGACCAACATGGTGAAACCCCGTCTCTACTAAAAATACAAAAGTTAGCTGGGCATGGTGGCATGTGCCTATAATCCCAGCTACTCAGGAGGCTGAGGCAGCAGAATCACTTGAGCCCAGGAGGCAGAGGTCGCAGTGAGCCAAGATCATGCCACTGCACTCCAGCCTGGGAGACACAGCGAGAATCCCTCTCAAAAAAATAAAGTTGATTAATCCATATATTGTAAGTCATGTATTACATACTATATTCTCACAATAAAGTGATCTAGAGAAAGAAAATACTGATAAGAAAATCATAAAGAAGAGAAACTATATTTACTATTCATTAAGTGGAGGTAGATGATTAAAAGGTCTTTATCCTCATCTTTACATTGAGAAGGCTAAATAAGAGGAGGGATTGATCTTGGTGTCTTAGGGATAGCAGAGACTGAAGAAAATTCATATATAGGTGGAGTTGTGCAGTTCAAACATGTGTTGTTAAAGAATCAACTGTAAGGCCGGGTACAGTGGCTCATGTCGCTAATCCCAGCACTTTGGGAGGCCGAGGTGGGAAGATCATTTGAGGTCAGGAGTTCGAGACCAGCCTGGCCAACATGGTGAAACCCCGTCTCCAGTAAAAATACAAAAATTAGCTGGGTGTGGTGGCAGGCACCTGTAGTCCCAGCTACTCAGGAGGCTGAAGCAGGAGAATTGCTTGAACCCAGGAGGCGGAGGTTGCCGTGAGCCGAGATCATGCCAGTGCACTCCAGCCTGGGCAACAGAGTGAGACTCTGCCTCCACACCCAACTGTACAGAATTAACTGTAGTTTGATGAATGAATCATGTATGATTGCAGTATACGTAAAATCTTAGTGTTTTATATAATTTTATAATAATTTATAGTGATTTTCTGGGTCTACCTTTTAGGAAAGATATGGGAAGGCCAGAATACTGAAGATCAGAACAAAAATCCTAGGAGAAATCTAAGGTAATTTGCACTCACAGGAGAAAGTTATGTTTCTGAAGTGAGTCTCAGAATGAAAGGAAATTTAAAAAACAAAATGAACAAGCCCAGCTTAAATTTATTTTTTAATTTTTTAAATTATTATTATTCTTATTTTTAGTCAGAGCCTTGCTTTGTTGCCCAGGCTGGAGTGCAGTGATATGATCTTGGCTCACTGCAGCCTCAACCTCCCAGGTTCTTGTGACCCTCCCACCAGAGCCTCCTGAGTAGCCGGGACTACACCTGCACGCCACCACACCTGGTTAATTTTTGTATTTTTTGTAGAGACAGGGTTTTGGCATGTTTCCCAGGCTGGTCTTGAATTCCTGCGCTCAAGCAATCTGCCTACCTTGGCCTCCCCAAATGCTAGGATTACAGGCGTAAGTCACTGCACCAGCCTAAATTTATTTAGTCTTTAAAAATTTCCTCCTAAAACATATTCTAAGAATTTACATATGAGGCTGGACATGGTGGCTTATGCCTGTAATCCCAGCACTTTCAGAGGCTGAGGCGAGCAGATTACTTGAGATCAGGAGTTTGAGACCAGCCTGGCCAACATAGCGAAACCCTTTCTCTACAAAAGTACAAAAGTTAGCCGATCATGGTGGTGTGCACCTTTAACCCCAGCTGCTTGGGAGGCTGAGGCAGGAGAATTGCATGAACATAGGAGGCAAAGGTTGCAGTGAGCCAAGATTGCACCATTGCACTCCAGCCTGGCGACACAGCAAGACTCCGTCTCAAAAAAAAAAAAAAATTAGCCAAGTGTGTTGGTGCACACCTATAGTTCCAGCTACTCATGAAGCTGAAGTAGGTAGATCATTTGAGTTCAGGAGGTCAAGGCTGCATGAACCATCATCCTGCTACTGCACTCCAGCATGGGTGACAGAGCAAGATCCTGTTTCAAAAAATAAATTAATTAATTAAAAGAAAAAAAAACCAAAAACCCTGCCGGTATTGGGTTGCCTTGCATAGCCTTCAGTTCATTCATGTTCAAACAGGGCATGAAGCCTACACTTTGCATGGTAATGTTAAAAAGGTATATCTGACCAGGTGCAGTGACTCACGTCTGTAATCCCAGCACTTTGGGAGGCCAAGGCAGGTGGATCACAAGGTCAGGAGTTTGAGAACAGCCTGGTCAACATGGCGAAACCCCATCTCTACTAAAAATACAAAATTAGCTGGGCATGGTGGCGTGCACCTCTAATCCCAGCTACTTGGGAGGTTGAGGCAGGAGAATTGCTTGAACCCGGGAGGAAGAGGTTGCAGTGAGCCGAGATCGTGCCACTGCACTCTAGCCTGGGTGACAGAGCAAGACTCCATCTCAGGAAAAAAAAAAACAAAAGGAAAGAAAAAGTACATCTGATACCTATTAATACACATAAAATAATTTAGAAACAACTATTTAGTAACGTACTTCTCATTTTTTATAGATGTCATATGGTAGAGAGATTCAGTGAAAGTAAAGACAGTAGTCAATGTGGAGAACCATTTAGCCTGATTCGAGGTAGTATTGTGAACAACAGCATTTGTCCTGGAGAAGATCCATGTCAAAGCACTGAGTGTGAAGAAGTCATAATGGGTCATTTATCCCTTAATAGCCACATCAGAGTTGATGCTGGATACAAACCATGTGAGTATCAGGAATATGGCGAGAAGCCACATACACATAAACAACGTGGGAAAGCCTTCAGTTATCACCACTCCTTTCAGTCACGTGGAAGGCCTCACACTGGAAAGAAACGCTATGAGTGTAAGGAATGTGGAAAAACCTTCAGTTCTCGTAGAAACCTTCGAAGACACATGGTAGTGCAAGGTGGAAACAGACCTTATAAATGTAAGTTGTGTGGGAAAGCTTTTTTTTGGCCTAGTTTATTGCGTATGCATGAAAGAACGCACACTGGAGAGAAACCGTATGAATGTAAGCACTGTTCTAAAGCCTTTCCTTTTTACAGTTCCTATCTAAGACATGAGAGAATGCACACTGGGGAGAAACCGTATGAATGTAAGCAGTGTTCTAAGGCCTTGCCTGATTCCAGTTCCTATATAAGACATGAAAGAACTCACACTGGAGAGAAACCCTATACATGTAAACAATGTGGGAAAGCCTTCAGTGTTTCCAGTTCCCTTCGAAGACATGAAACCACTCACAGTGCAGAGAAACCCTATGAGTGTAAGCAATGCGGGAAAGCATTTCATCATCTTGGAAGCTTTCAAATACACATGAAAAGGCACACTGGAGATCGACCTCATAAATGTAAGATATGTGGGAAAGGCTTTGATCGTCCCAGTTTAGTTCGATATCATGAACGAATTCACACTGGAGAGAAACCCTATGAATGCAAGCAGTGTGGGAAAGCGTTATCTCATAGCTCAAGCTTTCGAAGACACATGATAATGCACACTGGAGGTGGACCTCATAAATGCAAGGTATGTGGGAAAGCCTTTGTTTATCCCAGTGTATGTCAAAGACATGAAAAGTCTCACACAGGAGAGAAACCCTATGAATGCAAGCAGTGTGGGAAAGCATTATCTCATAGCTCAAGCTTTCGAAGACATATGGTAATGCATACGGGAGATGGGCCGAATAAATGCAAGGTATGTGGGAAAGCCTTTGTTTATCCCAGTGTATGTCAAAGACATGAAAAGACTCACTGGAGAGAAACAATATGAATGTAAACAATGATAAAGTCTTCTATATTTCCAGTTCCCTTTGACATCATGAATAAACTTACACTGGACAGAAACCCTATAAATGTAAATGTGGGAAAGCCTTTCATAATTTTTATTCCTTTCAAAATCATGAAACAACTCACACTGGAGAGATACTATATGAATGTAAGGAATGTGGGAAAGCAATCAATTTTTTTTAAGTACCATTGTCAACATGTAACAACTCACAGAGCAGAAAAACCCTGTGAGTGTAAAATATGTTGGGAAGCCATTCCCTTTGGTCATTTTGAAGCCTTCAGTCATTTTGGTAACTTAAAAGTACACGAGGCTGGACACAGTGGTTCAGCCTGTAATCCCAGCACTTTGGGTGGGCAGATCGCTTGACCTCAGGAACTTGAGACTAGCCTGGGCAAAATGGTGAAACCCTGTCCCTACAAAAAATAGAAAAATTGGCTCAAGCCTGTAATCCCAGCACTTTGGGAGGCCGAGACGGGTGGATCACGAGGTCAGGAGATCGAGACCATCCTGGCTAACACGGTGAAACC